CTGTAATGGTCGACCCGGTCGCTTTGATTTGGTTGTGAAGGTTTGCCCGGCTCAGGTATATGATTCACTTGATTGGTGCTGTTGAGTATGGGGTATTAACCTTCAGACTCCCTGGTGGGCCAGGGTTCAAACACCTCTTGGAAAAGTATGACTCGAGAACTGAAAAAGAACTGCGAAAATTGGCCAAGTTTTTTCTACATGTAGGTAAAAGAATGGTCATTTCACAGTAACATGGTTGAGACTGATGTGACGGTTGAACTTGATTCCCAGGCACTCATTGCACACTGTATTGAGGAGTGTCCTAGTATTATACAACATGGTTTGTCGGGAAATAGTGAAAACTAATGACCCCGAGGTGTTGGATGATTGGGACTTCCGGTATCTCCCAATCATCCAACACCGAGGGGTTATTTGTTTTCACTATTTCCCCACAAAAACATGTTGTATTTGTTTTACTATACCTCATAACTATACTCCAACAAATTGCTAAAACTGTTATAAGATGTCGAAGAAATCTGAAACAAAAGACACTATTAACTGTGATAAAAGTTTCAATCATAACTTTCACAGTATAACTGGATGTAAAAGCGTACATTTGCATTCATTTAAACTGTTCCCCCCCCCCCCCTTACTCCTTCCCGTGATCTGTAGGCCTTTATCAAGAATTTTGAAGATGATGAAATTCAAGAAATGATCAATAAAACGGGGGGGGGGGGGGGGGGGGGGATTTAAAACTGCCCAAAAGTAAACTTGTCAAATTTGTCTTCAACAATTCAACCATCAGCATTTCTAATCTTAGACATTCAAAATATTAGCCTAGTATGGCCATATAGCCTCCCTATTTACATGTGGTGTTATCTTCAAGTGCTAAGCCCACACATAGTTCAGGAAATATGTCCAAACGATTGTCAATATTATGTCAAAACTGGAACTAAGTTGAAGGTTTGGTGACAATGACATGAATGGAATCACTAATCAAACACAAACTCTTCGCAGGCAAACAATGGTATAAAGCTGTCATCGAAAAATGTATTGGAACGGCATGCCTCTATCCTATCCAGACTAACTTGTTTATACCGCACGCTTGTCAACGAAACAACAAACTATTGAATCTCTTAAAATAGAAATGCTGCGTGCAATTCTCATGGCTGGACCAAAAAAATAATCTGTTTAGAGTATGATGCATGTTCATTCCAGCAAGGTTCAAGTGGCTGTTGATGATGGATTCTGAGAATATTTGCCCATTGCTTTTTATTTATGTCGCAGGGGTAGAACTCAGGTAGCACGGTCTAGACTTTTACCCATTCATTGTTATCATTTCAAAGTTAAAGACAGGTATGTCGAGAGTATCAAAGTGCGACATTTAAGGCAATTTATCAAAACTACCGGTACAATCGTGTTTGCGGTTTGAAGGAATGCCTTTTAACACAAAGAAAGAATTTCTTTCTTTTTTCCTTTTTTCCTTTTATTAACCTAACATAACTCAACCCATCAACCCCCAACGGCATGTTTTGTTGGAATCTGTCAGGATGGGTACAGTACCCCTAAACTAACAGTCTTTTACATTGGGTTGGCACACCTCCAGAATCAAAGTCAGAAATATGTGTGCACAGTTTCCCATATGGTGTTGCCATTTGCCAGGATGGGTATGGTTCCTAGTAAATCATTATAGGGAGTTAGGGTTAATGCATAGAAGATGGAAATTTTATCAGCAAGAAATTGACATGGTGTAAACTTTGTTAATTTTGTAACTTGCAGGTTGTAAGTTTGATATGTTGCTGTAGTCTATAAAAATTAACTGTCGGGGCCTTGGGTGGGACTTGAACCCACAAATTAATGTTTGTGCTGGTCCCAGAGGGCCAGCCTAGTGTCCTCTTTGTACCTATCTCACTGATTTACTCACTGACTGTCAATGGTGAAGTGGGCAGTGCTATTGTACAGGATTACCCGAACAGGATTACACCAATGATGGACTAAATCCAGCCCATTGTTAAGACCAGATGCAAGATATGAGTGAATCAGCTGAATAGAACTTGTGCACTCTGGGCCAGTTATTAGGTTTACCTTGGCTTGTTGATTCAAATTGGTGATACAGGCCTATTCACAAGTCGGCCATATTTGAAAGCGAGGTAAACTCTTCATTTTTGGAACTTGTGAGTAGAAATGAAAGCAATGAAATAAAAGTTAATTACAAATGAACACCAGTCTGCTCTGATGACTAATTTAAAATTTGTGATTAAACATACATGTACTTTATTATGTTTTAGCTTCATTTAAAAAAAAATTGAAAGTGAGGCTTGGAACACATAAATAGTCTGGTACCATCCCATTCAATAGTTTACAATTTATAAAATACATTCAGGGAACACGATCAAAAATGGCTTCCTCGTGAATTTAAGGCCGATTGCATGGAAGTGAGGTTGGGAAGGCAAGTCATGTAATCCAGACACCATTCTTTCCTGTTCGGTTACCTTTACTAGAGACCCTAACTTCGCCCCTGCGTCTGCGAGCGTGGGTCCGGGAGGATGCCAGATTATGCAGATGAGATGCAAATGCGACGAAATCTCCCGAACAGCCGTGTTCCGACACGTCTGATTGGCTTTTTTTACAACGATCGACCCTCCCCATTGGTCACTGAAGGGGTGAAATTTCCCAAACTGCCCCGTTCCGCCGTGGCTGATTGGCTGTTTCGTGGCTGTTTGCAACGAGTCTCCCGCCATTTTGATGGAGATTACCCCCATTGTCTCAAACTATCAATTCCTAAAAATATACAATTTCAGAACATATTTTCTGAGTCTCAGAGATTAACAACCTAAGCCCCATCTTCGATTCCTCAGTTTTTCCTGCACTCAATATTTTCCCCAAAGACTTCAACCTCTCCTTATGCTGAAAAAAAAATCTGAATTGATTCATGAGTCTTAATTCTGCAACACAGGAACCACTTTGTCCTACATTGTACATAGCCCTAATGAGGCATTGTTGCAAGTACCTTTGACCATAGAGCACAGAGCATAGACATGACAAAAGCCAGACAAGAAATAAAGAGGGATCTGAAATCAGGGGAGACTCGCCCCAGAAATGTTCCCTAAAACCAAAGGGTATTAACAAAAAAAGTCAAACTCGGCAGCCTTTGTGGTTTACATGGGTACAGGTAGCTTGTCTGAGACTGCTATGGGTACCGTTGCCAGGCAACTGTTTAACCACAATCTATTTGGTGGAACATGGCCGCTATTTGTCATCGCATTCCAATCGAATGAGTCGTCAGAATCAATGTGAAATTGGCCCGCTGGGCTTCAAACGGCCTAATCTGAGCCCATTTGCTTTGCTGCACCCTTTGAGCCTTTAATTACATATTAAGTGTATTATTTCACAACGACCATGGGCATCGTTTCAACTTCACCTAACATCAAAAGGGGAATTATGTATGCATAACTTGACAAATTGTTCACCGGGTTCACTTTTGGTTTTTGAGATGTTATCATTTGCGGGGAATGAAAATATTATAATAGGATTTGTGGGTTATGCTTTTCAATTTAAAGAGTCGTTCCTGGAATTTTTTGCTTTTGTTGGGAGTTTAGCACAGTAGCAGGTTTTGGCAATCTTCATAATTCATGGGGTTTGTTGACCTGGAGCTGTATAGCTGCACTTTTGCTTTTGTCTTTTTTTTCCCCAGGGACCTGCTGATTGAGGTCAGTATGCAGCATTGTGGATATACTGGTACATGTAATTGCTTCTCACAGGAATTTGCATGCTCATAGTGTTAGCACATGGTATGCTTTTTGTCCGCATTAATTAATTAGAAGCAAGTGGGGCATATTGGGAACATATTTCAATAAGCCAGTTCAGTATTCCAAAATAGTCTGGTGCACAACAAGATTCTATGATTGTTTTTTTTCGGGATAAATGCGGAAGATGAATGCACACAAGGCTATGGTATGGGGAGCGTGGTAACCAAATCTGCATTCTGTAAGGTGATACTGCTACGTATCCTGACAGAATATTGACTTTGTGTTATTTTTTCATCCTCTACCCACTTGTATGGGCCCTGTCTAGACTTCCTGTGGGTTTTCCTTGCACTTCTTAAAGGTAGGGTAGTTCATTTGTCATTTGTGCACTTTGTTCGTTTGAAGCAAGAAAAGTACTCAAAATGTAAAGACAGGTGCTTAACAACTAACCTGATGAAGTTTTAGCTCTGTGAATGCTGTATATTCCGAGAAAAAATACTGTACGATCTCGATTTCAGTTCAAAAGTTGCCGAGTCTTGTTTTGAATTGCACCCAAAATCATCATCTGAGACACGTTCTCATTCAGCCGATTGCAGCTACACGATATCACGCACTGAACCGACGAAAAATAGCAACCATGGCATCATGCACAGATTCGCCCAATTACAAACCACTAACGAAAGTTTCCAAAAATTCGTCATTTGACGCATCTTCGAAAATGGCCTTCTTTTAATTATTGTTTTCTTCAAAATGACAGAATGCCAGAATAATTTCACAGGCAGTTTAGTGCCGTTGCTGTCTTTAATTTTAAACCAAGTAAGCTCTTCAACAAGAATGTCGTCAGTTACTTTTTGGATAGCTGCAAATAATGTACTCTACCTTTAAATTGTTTAACTGGATTCCATTCTCATCTCTCAATTTTGAAAAGAGAGTCAGAAGGAGGCTTGAGAACTAGTCATCATAAATGTGAAATAAATAGTACATGTACTTGTGTAGTGGGTCCCATTTTCGATTGTAAGTGGAGAGTCTCCCCCCCCCTCCCCCCCCCCTCCCCCCCCCCCCCATTTTGGGACAGTGGTAACGTACGTCTACCCTCTCTGTTCGTCCCTTCAACCCCCACCCACCCCTTTGTTAATTGGATCCTGATTCAATCAACCTTTTAGGAGCTACACGTTTTTGTCAGTTATTGCCCGACTAAAACAGAAAGTGAGTTGCATCTCAGCATGCAATAATTTGGTCAGCGTTAGAAAAAAAATGCAAACAGTAAATGTTTCCTTCTTTTCCATTGTTTTAATACTTTCAGCAAAAATGTAAGACACAGTGTCCTGACAGACATAAATACATGTTTTATAAATTAACAAAAATGGGAATGTTAAATAAAAAAACAGAGCTTTTAGTAATTTACAAAAGAAAATAAAGATATTTAGATTGATTGGATTGTTCGAATCCAAAGAACTATAAAAAAAAAAATTCCCCTATTATTATTATTTTTATTAGGAATCCTATTTTAAAACCAAATCCTTCCCAGCAAAAGGATTTACAGTGATATCCTGAACCCAGAAGTTGCCACTGGGTCAAATATGGACAGGGGTCAGATGTCAAGACTAATTTATTTTGATGTTTGGTAGGACAATAACCAGGCCCATTAACAACAGACACCTCCCATAAAATCAAAATAAACAAAAATCCCCCACACTTTCATTGGGACCAGTCTAATGACCCTTTACAAGCTTGTGGTGGGATGCCTTTTGGGTGTTTCAAATCCCCACTGGTCCATCAAACTTAATTTTTAATGGATGAGCTGGGGCAAACACTCCACCCAGAATTATGATGGAGACATCCCCACAAGAACAATTTATTGCTCCTGGTAAGAGGGAACATGTGTTCAGTGTTACTTTTGGGGCCTGTGCTTCTATGAGACTCTGATTCGGTGTGTATGTGTGGTCCCAGACTGAACAAATTGCAGTTTACCAAAAAGAAAGAGTATAGTCTTTTGAAAAATCCAGACAACTACTCTAAAATGGAATTTCATAATATTTTTGAGATGATCAAAGAGCGTCACCTCAGAGAGTTTGAGATCAAACCTAGCAACTTTCTCAAAGAAACAGTATCCCTCGTACGAAAAACATACAAGTACAATAATTAAATTTTAATTGGCCCACCTTCAGCTATTTACAATGACTAAAAACTTAAGACAACACATCCACCATTTCAAAATAGCTCTTTTCCTATAAAAAAAAATCGTACTTTTTGTTACTTTGTACATGCATGTGGGCTTAATCCTCAACCACTCAGTTTTCTGTAAATATCAAAAAAGTATCAAAACATCTTTAAAAATATACAATCTGTGATATAAAAAACACACAAAGTTTCCTTCCCATCAAAATATAGAATGAAAATATTCAATTTCTGCTGTGTTATGCTTACTATGGAAAATGGAAGCGGCTTATAATTGATTCAAAGGTTTCATGAATTGCTAGTCTATTAATAACACAGAGATATTGTGAACTCCTTAGAAATGGAATTTTTGTAAGATTTCCAATGCCATAACATCAGACGAAGAAAAAAAAAACATTTAAGGAAGACAGTTGTTAAAATGGGTATGACCTAGCAAAAGTTTTAAAGTCAAAACATAATTTTTTTTATCAAAAGTGAAAAATGCCTGTTACAGTCAATACTCAAGGCCTGTTTGGTCCAAGGAAAAGGAAGACATTTCTATTTGTTGTGACAATTACATATTTGTAGTTGGAGTTAAAGTGACATGTTTCGACAATGTGGAAAATCATATCGAAATAAACGAGGGTAACAAGAAACCATGGTTCTTGCTGGTCATTACATAATTTCAATTGTACAATACAAAGGATGCATTGCTGCAAGAGTAAGGACATTTTAGTTCAAACTCGCAACAAGCTTCTTTGAAAGCACCCATGAATATGACAGCATCATAAACCTTTCAGTTGCTAAATGCTATGAGGCATCTGTGCATCATCTCTGCTCAAGATTTGTGTCTGTGATTCAGAAGCAATAAAAACCACCAGCTGCCAAAAGTAGGGGGAAAACGCCTGTGGAACTGAACCAGTTTACCCCTACCTTACCATGGTAAACCCAGCTGGGGTAACCCTTTAAAAAGGAAAACTATTTACATGGCAGCTTTGTACATTACAAGACATTCTTTTACAACATGGTAAATAATGGGAAATGTTCAGAAAAGGAAATAGTTGGACATGCACAGCATGTTTAAATAAAGTGTCTTATGTACATCAGTTCTTCAAGTAAACATGGCAGAATGTAGTTGATATGCTTCTTGAATAAGTTAGTTGATTGACCTTCCTGCACATCAGAGTTAGTTGATGGGACTTCTTTTACATGATTTCTCAGCAGAGCGTACTGTCTGGTCCTCCCAGGACCTGGCGTGGTTTTGTTGGTAGGCCTCCCATGTGCGCGACTCAGAGAGGACAGGTTGAGCACTTTCAAGGAGGCTATAGGAGGTGTGATTTGGTGAGGTCTGCTGCTGAGGGTACTGGTAGGATGCAGGTAGTGTGGATGCTGCTGAAGGACTGTTTGGGTTGTTGGTGTAGTAACCTAACTGCGCCTGGTGAGCTTGTGAAGGCTGCTGAGGATAGTCATAGGACTGGCCTGCCATGGTGGGATACTCGGCCGCATACTGATGCTGCATGCTGTAGTCATATGGCTGGACCTGGTTGGAGGTAGGCGATGCAGTGTAGTGATGTTCTGGCGATAGCATCTCGTCTTCAAGCTTCAACTCACTGGAGACTGGGATTTGAGAGGCACCCTGCCGGCTGAGCCACTGCTCTGATCGGGCAATGTTCTGACAAACGTTCATCATTGTGTAAGTGCTGCACTTAGGACTGTGTGGAGGTGGAACCTGTGGGTGTTGGACTTGGGCAGAGCTAGTGACGAGGTAGCGGTCTAGATCTTCGTTGATCAGGCCATCCATGTTAGCCATCATGTCGCTGCTCAGGTCACGGACATCCACACCCGCCAGGTCAACGGGTAGCTGCTGGTGCTGCCGCTCCCCTTCAGCTGAATGTACTTCATGCGCTTCTGCGGAGGCTGGCCACTCAGACGCTCGGCTTCTTCCTTGGGTGTGGTCGGTGGGGTAGGAGGACCTGCCTGCTGAGGTGTTGGGTGCATGGCATACCTCTCGCTACCATCTTCGCTGCCCGTGTCACCAGGGGAGCGAGAGCCCTTGCAGATGGTTGGGTCAGAAGTCAGGGGTCCCTTGCTGGGTTTATTCTTGTTGCGGCGCCTTGGCTGGTACTTGTAGTCAGGGTAGTCTTTCTTGTGTTGTTGGCGGAGCCTCTCAGCCTCCTCAATGAAAGGCTGCTTCTCAGGATCTGACAACAGTCTGCAAAGGTAAAAAAAAAGAAAAGGAAAAAAGTAAACAACTGCGTTCAGATTAACCTATGGAATGGGTTACAGTTGAACTGATTTTCACCTTTTGAAATTACTCTTCCAAAGGCGGAGTTATTCTTATTGTCAGGCAACAATCCATGCATACCAAGTAAGCAAATCTGGTTTTGGCTAGCACACGTTAACAATAGTTTATTCAACTGTTCTTTACAGTACAGCAGACACGTTGATAAATAGACCAAGTTTGCAATAGTTATACCTTTTTGCTCGACCTCTTGCATTTTACCCGAAAAGTGCAGGGATCGTTACCCTGTGGGTACACTGTACTTTTTAAAGGGGTCACCTTGACTTAAAGCTTCAAGCATTGACGCAAGTTTGAGCGTGCTAGACCCGTGCCCATTGAAATGAGGACGAACATCCATCCATCAATCCCACGAGCTTCTTTTCAAATGATCGTGTTTATTGAAAGCTGAGGAATTTTTCATTTTTCGTACTCCCAACAATAGTCATTTTGAATGGTTAGAATTTCCAAGTTATGGCATCGCGAGAATTCCTCTTAAATGCAAAGGCAGCGTTTCTTTATCATACCCGTCCATGACTGACAGAAGGTGTATTTGAGCTCGGTCATGCGCGTTTAGCTCTCAATAATAGGATCTGAGAGAAAAATCCCATGTACCGCCGTGGATAGCTTCCAGAAAAGAAGAGCCTGGAACGAATTGTTCACGCTGTCACTGTGTCAACCAATGAAGCGGGGACACAAAGCAGGTTGGCAGAATTGTACACATCATCAGAAGAGACGGGGGGGGGGGGGGGGGGGATACGCCAGACGTGTGTAACCTAGTACTACTTCAGGTACGAGTGGCACAAAGTAAAAATCTGTGTATGCGTAGGCCAGGAGGAATGCTATGGTCACGGTGCAATGACATCACCACAGTTTAGCCTTGCCAGGGTAACTGATTGATTTATGAATCAAAATTGTGTGTTTTCTTTAAGACTGGTGATCTACATGATTGGTGGCGAAACGAAACGGGACTGGTCCCGAAATTGTATCACTGTCAAAACTAGATTTTCAATGTGAGGGTCAGGTGCCGGCCCCGTTCAGCCATGCTCAATGTTTGCACAAAATTAATTAACAATTTGGTCGTCGACTGAAGGCCCAGGCCCAGACTAGTGTATCAAAACTTCAAGATTTAGGGGTTTTATATTTACTACGATTTTTATTAAAATTATTAAAATATTCGAAAAAGAAACTCCAAGTGGAAGTTCTACTTTGAAAATGTGTAAACACGTCTAGCATGTCTAGCGTTTCACAAGTTGAAATTCAGGTGCTGGAACCAAGCCAAGATCATAATTGCATTTGCGTCGGCATATAAAACAAAATAGCATTGTAATCGCTGGAATAAATTTAACTACATTTACTACTAGTACTACTACTAGTAGCACTAAAGTATGTACTTGTACTTAGCGGCAGGACAACACTTTCAAGTAAAAACCCTTCAGAATACAACCGAAGTGTGGCGTTCCAATTATAATTTACAATACACAACACCACCATCCATGGTCATTCTATAGTACATCAAGCCTCAAGGTATTAAATAAGATAAAACTATAAAGTAACAAGAAAACCAGACAAATTCCAACAATGTTACTCACTTCCACAGTCTGCCAAGCGTCTTGCTGAGTTCGGCGTTGTGCAGGTGAGGGTGCTGATCTGCTAGCTTTTTCCTCGCTGCCTGTGCCCACACCATGAAGGCGTTCATGGGTCGCTTGATGTGCGGCTTGGCGTTCGGGTTACCGGCAACACGCGTGGGCATGGGCACAAGCGACCAGTCGTAACCCTGCAGCACACGGGACACGGCGTCGCGAATAGACGGGGGGAACCTCGGGTCCAAGGTGGCCGGGGCCTCGCCGCAGTTCGCCGTGTCAGACTCTGAGCCGGACTCGCTACACCCGGGGCTAACCGGACCGTCGCTTCCCCTGGATAGAGGCCTCTCCATCTCCGTAATCTGCACGCTCATTTTCGGCATCGAACCGCCTGCACTGGTAAGGAAGATTCAGATAAGTGTATGTATACTAGCTGACAGTCCAATGTACTCCGTGGCTTAACGAGACTTGTAATGACTCATTTTAAGGGTGCTCAGTGCTTTTATCCGGCCGACCGTGTTTGGGTTAGTCACCACCGCTCCTCCACGCTACCCGTGTTCACTCGCCGTACGCGTATTGTTGGATCGTTTATTGACATATAATTAAGGAAACAAGACTTGCAGCGTTATAATTCGATCGTGCTTGTGCACCGTCCGCGCCTGGCTGGGTGGGTGCGCACTTTTACACCCATCGTGACTGGTGCGTGTCGTGATTGGCCACTGGCTGACACGCGCTCGCTGATAGGCCAGTTGTTTTCTCCGCAGTGATTCCCATTCACACGTATTGCACTGAAAGCGATCACGGACTACTTTGCCTTGAGAGCGTATACGTGATCATCGCGGATCGAAATGTAAATATGGTATCTTTGCTTTATATTTATGCATTCCTTGCTCTATGATTTATGTTATATTAATTTGGAAATAGACTGTGAGTGGTTGGTTTGGATAAAACATGCAATAGACGAAATATAATTGAATGCTATTACTTTGAATTGTGAGACACAAGTCATGTTTCATATTGTTTATTTTAAAAGTTTATTTTAAGTTTTGTTACTTCCAATCCCAGTTGCATGCCTGTACTAAAATGATCTCAAGAATGTCGGTAATCTTCTCCTTTAAACTCTAACGCTCTAAATTCAAGAGCTTTTTTAAAGTTTCCCACGATCCAAACAATTCCCGATATTGCGTCAACTTTCATTTTGGGACTTGGAGTTCAGTTTGGTTCCTCCTTACCTGTGCGTTTCCCAGACCCCAACGACATTCAGCAGCATGCAATCCGACTCATAATTACACAGGCTTACGGCATTACCTCATCTTACCAATACATGACGTCACCGGCCCTGCCTGTTCCCTGACACAGGTGAATAACACCACCAGCCCCCAAAAAGCCTGGGAAATGCAGAGCTGATATCAGAATTGTACCCACGTTAATCATGCTCCATTTGCCTTCATAATAAATGTCTTCAAGAGAGGCTGAAAAGGAGTAACTTGTAGTCTTTGCGCATTAACCACGCATCGGTACTCGTGGAAATCAAAGACACATTATACCCTATACGCCAAGTATTAATCGCCTATTCGCTAATGCAACTCAACCCTCAAGTACTGACTCATTTCCACAGAATGACCGCAGATCGCTTGTCGAGAAACGAATCCCGTGCCAACAAACAAAAAGAAAAAGGCACCGAAAAAACGCAAAGAAAAACACAGCAATTGAAATGGGTCGTGGGTACATAATACACTTTTGACCTCGCGTTTGGGATTCGAGTTGAGCCCAATGCTTTCACAGTGCCGACTACTTTGCGTGATGATCGTGCTGCGCATTTTACGAGGGCCGTTTAGTCTAAGATTACACAGCACAAACGTACACTAATAGTAAAACGAATGATACGTGATTTGGTACACGGTACCCTGTGGAGACATGTGCATAATAGGAAACAAAATATTGTATACGTCTCCACAGGGCAATTTCTATAGGTGAATACGTCTCCACAATGTTACCCCGAAATAGATATATGGATTTTACCCAAAAACTAGGAATTTCCAAGGTGTGTTGATGTGTCGCAAATTGAAGTATTTTATGTAAGGGATATTAAGTCCGAATTTCAGCTCACGAAATTAATTCTGGTTAAACATGGGAGCATTTTGAAACTACACTTTCAAGCTCTAAAATTGTATACACATAATGTACAAGCATACGTAAACAAAGAAATGACTCCACAATTGGATACAAATTCCAGTATATTTGCATGTACAGTTTATCGGCCCTGGCATGCAGTGCCGGTGTTGTATACAGGGCTGACGATGTTAGATACATGTACATAAAATGGCAACAAAATATTCGCACTGCCAAGCCCTAGAGGGCAAACCGGGGAAGAATGCAGGTGCATCATGATCACATACACACTAATGGGCCAACCATTCACGGGGGCGTCCCGCCGGTTCTCGCTGCTTAATGCCCGGCAAGTGTTTTTGACTCATCGCGCCTTTTCCCTCAGTTGTGGTTCTCCGGAGGCCGAGGGCGCAGCGCAATCGCGGCAAGGCACAATAGAAGACCAAAGGGTGCAGCTATAGACAAGCACTGGTAAAATACACACTTGTCTTCTCTTTGTCGAAGCCGCACGTCTTTTTTAAATGCCCGACTGAGCCGAAATGGTTTAGCGATAGGTAAACGCGTGAAATGTTTCCCCCACACGGCAGTGCTGAGTTGGGTTTTCGCTGGAAATCGAAAATGGTCTCGACGGGTTGCCGGTCTTTTCAATTACTGTTGTTACTCGACTGGGCTCAAACTTTAACGGGACTTGGCGGTTCTCGGGGTAATCGTTTGCCTGACCCGAGATCAGGCACTGGCAGTGCGTGATCTGTTATTGATTTGACAGGTATTTTATGTGCTTTGTGTCATTTAACATTTCGTTAAAAGGAAATGACTTAACGACTGTGTTAAACATTTATGGACAATGAGTGAAATAATTTCACCTTATTGAGAAACAACTGTGAAATATTTCAAAACGGTTTACTTATCAGTGATTCTTTCTAATCTGCCAAGCAACTTCAGCACTTTTCAATGAACACCCCCCCCCCAAAAAAAACATGAACTATATCGGAATTCAGGAAATATCGGAAATCAGGAAATATAAGATTTCACGCCATAATCTGCGAATTTATATGACACCTCGTGAGCATGGAGCTATCTGTTTTGATTCACCCAAATCTTGAACTGTGCTCTAAATTGAATACATGTGTAGATTAACTTTATATGAATTAAAACTCAAAATGAACCTGAACTTAAGTATAGCCATGCATGGTATAATCATTGATAACTCATCTGATCTGACAGAGGCCTAGTAGTACACATTATTGTCACCATTCCCACCAAATAAAAAAGAAAGATGGCTATATCCCACCGTTGTCAGCGGAAGTTAGCTGATGATGTTTGTCCTTGATGTCCGGGGAGCGCCGATAATTGCATAATGAAACGTGCCGTAATTTGCGCCGTATCGCCCCGGCCTCGGCTCACGACAGGCCCGGTTGGGAGTCGACAAGTTTGCCGGACCACCCTGAAACACCCCTCTTTTTTTCTTCTGACTTATGGCTGATAATGCGAAGAAGACTCACCACCGAAACAACAGGGCCCAATTACAAAGACCGGGCAGAAGCAGAAATACTGAACGCCAGTCTCAAGCATGCAATACACATTGCATGGCAAAGTCTGGTAACCAGTTCCGTCTAAGCAACCATTTTTTTTGCACTTAGCAGATTCATGTGCTTAGAAGATCCATGGAACTTGATTAATCATAAAGAACTTGAAATAACATACAATTATTGATATAAACAATTTTCGTGGGAAAAAAATCGTTGTATAACTCTCGACAGAGCCATAATTTAAGATCCAGTCTACTTTGTGATGAATTTGAGCAGTATGTTAACTTAGTAAGCGAATAACTAGTCTACTTTGTGATGAATTTGGTCAGTGTATGTTAACCTAGTAAGCGAATAACCAGTTTAGTTTGTGGTGAATTTGAGCAGTAGGGGGCCTATGTTAACTTAGTAAGCGAATAACCAATCTACTTTGTGATGAATTTGAGCAGTATAACCAGCCTACTTTGTGATGAATTTGAACAGTGTATGTTAACTTAGTAAGCGAATAACCTGTCTACTTTGTGACGAATTTGAGCAGTATGTTAACCTAGTAAGTGAATAACCGGCCTGTATACTTTGTGGTGAATTCAGTATGTTAACTTAGTAAGCGAATAACCAGTCTGCTTTGTGATGAATTTGTCTTTGAGCAGTGTGTTAAACTTAGTAAGCGAATAACCAGTCTACTTTGGGATGAATTTGAGCAGTACGTTAACTTAGATCAGTATATTAACTTCGTAAGCGAATAACTTCACCATTCAGTTCACTCTTCGGACGGACACTTCCATGGAATAAAAGAGTCAGGTTTTTATATTACCCCCCCCCCATTTTTATCCAGTTCTATAGGCCTACCCCTAACATGCAACCATTCGTACAGTGTCATCCTTGAGGCTTCCTTTTTAATAGTTCCATGCCGTAAGTTCCCCCACCGACCCCAACGAAAATAGTTATTCCAACGATTAGTCAAATTTGCGAAGAACACCCAACGAGAATTTTCCCCTCCCTTTTTTGTGTGTGATGTGTGACTGGGGGCATGTTTTGGCAATACCCTTTCCGCTCCGCTGACCTGGATAACAGGTTGCAATAATGGCGGTAATTAACACACCGTTGCGCACATGGAAGTGTTTATTTTATTGGGCATTGCCAACGAGTGGGCCCTTGAGCTAATTAGATCGGTGATAATCGTATTAAGCCGGGCGGAAATTTCCAGGGTACTGCCGACACCCACGGTACACGGACGTGTAGATCCGTTGTGCGTGTACCGCGGACTAAAGATCCGAGAGAGAAGTGGTTATTGCAATCATACCACGGGGCAGGTTTCAGTACTCAGTATTGAATGTGAATCACATCCACTACAGAAATGGTTTTGAGACAAAAGCGCAAATTTAGCTAAAACTTGTTAAGTGAAGTTTTGTTTAGAGCAGAAACGACATTACTAAGTACTTTTTTTGACTTACGAAAGTTGGTAATACATTTTTTTAACATTAGAAAAAAAACATATGAACAGGTGGAAGTTCATTATTGGTGGTGTGATGTGAACAGCAGAACGTTATTAGTAAGCCAACAATTAACTTTTGCAAAAATTCAGAGTTTGTTAGGATAAGAGAGTTAAGCGTACGTCATACTGACGTCATATACATACGTCATAATTTGCACATTTGTGAAGGAATACAGGTGTGTCCTATTTTAAGACAATAAAGTTTAATGGGATTCACTTATGTCCACTTTTATGCGGTTTTGGATCTAATTAACGTATGTCTCGTTGTCAGAGTACACAA